TTGGACCTACGCAGTCACAGTTGGACCTGCGCAGCCACAGTTGGACCTACGTGACAGTTGGACCTACGCAGCCACAGTTGGACCTACACAGCCACAGTTGGACCTACGCAGTCACAGTTGGACCTACGCAGCCACAGTTGGACCTAGGCAGCCACAGTTGGACCTACGCAGCCACAGTTGGACCTACGCAGCCACAGTTGGACCTACGCAGTCACAGTTGGACCTACGCAGCCACAGTTGGACCTAGGCAGCCACAGTTGGACCTACGCAGCCACAGTTGGACCTACACAGCCACAGTTGGACCTACACAGCCACAGTTGGACCTACGCAGTCACAGTTGGACCTACGCAGCCACAGTTGGACCTAGGCAGCCACAGTTGGACCTACGCAGCCCCAGTTGGACCTGCGCAGCCACAGTTGGACCTACGCAGCCACAGTTGGACCTACGCAGCCACAGTTGGACCTGTGCAGCCACAGTTGGACCTACGCAGCCACAGTTGGACCTACGCAGCCACAGTTGGACCTGCGCAGCCACAGTTGGACCTACGCAGCCACAGTTGAACCTGCGCAGCCACAGTTGAACCTACACAGCCACAGTTGGACGTACGCAGTCACAGTTGGACCTACGCAGCCACAGTTGAACCTGCGCAGCCACAGTTGAACCTACACAGCCACAGTTGGACGTACGCAGTCACAGTTGGATCTACGCAGTCACAGTTGGACTTACGCAGCCACAGTTGGACCTACACAGTCACAGTTGGACTTACGCAGCCACAGTTGGACTTAAGCCTAGTTTATACTCGCGCGGAGCTTACGGAGGTGACGTGACGTCACTTGCGCAACGCGTTGGTCACCGCAAGGCCCTTACGTCGCCTGCCGCGCAGCATCGAATTTTTCTAACTACGTAAGGGTCGCCGCAAGGAAGCTCCGCTGTGATTGGTCCGTGTGTGTGTATTGGAAGGAAGCATGAAGCGGCTGCAGCAGGGACAATGGACGAGGCACTATGGAGCAGAGAGCTTTGTGCTTCGAAGGAAAAGCAGTTTGGGTTCAGAACCTGATATACAGGAGACTGTGGACTATCTAACATATATATAACTTATATCTAACTTATATATAACTTATATCTAACATATATATAACTTATAAACTTTTCAGTCGTTTGTTTTGCACTGTTTCTGTCTTGTTTGAATCGTAGCTGCGTTTGTTGCTTTCCTCCTGCACTCGTAAATCGTTCATGTTTGTCTCAGATATTTACCACTATTATTGTTTTGCTGTTTGTGCTGAAAACTATTTAATAATAACTATGTTTCCAACAAGAACTGTGTCTTTATTCACAGCATCACAGTTGAAATGACTTATAAAATAATGAATCCATAAAACTATCACATAAACCTACAGTAGAAACACGTGTAATGAGCTCAAACAGCTTTGTTTGTTATTGTTGTTCTGAAGAGGACAAAGTAGCGTAAATGGGACCGCTCCTGTGTGATCGCCCTCATGTGGTTTGTTGTGGGATTACAACATTCTCCTCAAAACTCCGTAAGGGGAACGCGCCAGTATAACATCAATTGTGCTTACGTAGGTCCACCGCAACCGCTAACGTAAGCCACGCCGCGCAAGTATACACTAGGCTTTACACAGCCACAGTTGGACCTACGCAGCCACAGTTGGACCTACGTAACCATAGTTGGTGGTACACATGCGTGTTCCCCCTTGCGTAGTTTTGAAGAAAATGTTGTAATCCCACACCCAACCACATGATGGCGATCTCACAGGAGTTGCCTGCTGCTACTTTCTCCTCTTCAGAACAAAAACAAACCGAGCTGTTTGAAATCATTACATGTGTTTCTACTGTAGGTTTATGTGACCGTTCTAAACTCATCTTTTCAACTCATTTAACTGTGATGCTGTGAATAAAGACACAGTTCTTGTTGGAAACATAGAACTGTTTACGAGTGCAGGAGGAACGCAACAGACGCAGCTACAATTCAAACAAGACAGGAACAGTTCATATGTTATATATAAGTTATACAGTGCCTTGCGAAAGTAATCGGCCCCCTTCAACCTTTCTACATTTTGCCACATTTCAGGCTTCAAACATAAAGATATAAAATTTTGATTTTTTGTCATGAATCAACAACAAGTGGGACACAATCGTGAAGTGGAACGACATTTATTGGATAATTTAAACTTTTTTAACAAATAAAAAACTGAAAAGTGGGGCGTGCAATATTATTCGGCCCCTTTACTTTCAGTGCAGCAAACTCAGTCCAGAAGTTCAGTGAGGATCTTTGAATGATCCAATGTTGTCCTAAATGACTGATGATGATAAATAGAATGCACCTGTGTGTAATCAAGTCTCCGTATAAATGCACCTGCTCTTTGATAGTCTCAGGGTTCTGTTTAAAGCGCAGAGAGAACCATGAAGACAAAGGAACACACCAGGCAGGTCCGAGATACTGTTGTGGAGAAGTTTAAAGCCGGATTTTGATACAAAAAG